AGTGATGGCAACTGTAGTCCATCATTTCTGGAGACAACACAAGTTTGGATAGTTGATATAGGTCATCTGTGATGAGAAGGAACCATTAGCTTGAGTCAGTATGAGGCATCTTCATGTTACTCTTTGTGACCAGAGGCTGAATGAACAATTAGGCTAAGTACTTTATAGAAATACTCCCTGAGCTAAATAAAGTTTCACTTCCCTGGTATTTTGTTAGTGTGAAAAATATTTCCTTCTTGATCAGTGCTTATCAGAGTGTAGTGTCCTCCATAGAGAGGAACTTCAATAGGTGGAAGCATCTAGTCAACTTTCGCTGATCTCAGCTTCTCAGTGGCTCTGATCTGGTTAGAACGTGGAATTTCAAAACTGTAAAGAAGTGTTTTTTTTTTAAAAAAAATATTTTTTGAAAGCAAAGCACTGCACAGCAAACTGCATGAATTCCTTGAAGGGATAAAAAAAATGGTGTTTAAAAAATTGATAATTTGATAATCTGCATAACACTTTTAATCAAAGTATGTATTTCCCAAACATGGCCCAAGACCTAATTGTAGTAAAAATTGTTTGCATTGGAGTAATTAGTTCAGGCAGTTACAGCTTACAGACTGAATTTCAGCACATCTTGATCACCTCAATCCTAATATCCCATCCTGCCATAATTTTCTTCACATTTGAGCTCCTGAAGCTTCGTATTTTCCCTTTCTAGTGAAAAATATTGGCTCATTGAGGTTTATCATACCCCCAGGACATTCTTGTGCACACAAACTCTAATTCCATTTGAGGGAATGTTTTGAAATATTCCATTAGACAAGAAGTATTTGTTTTCCTTTGATTATATTTCCTCTTCATTTTTCAGATCCCCATTAGGCTATTTTAAATTTGTGATGATTCAGAAAACAATGCTGAAATAGTTGCGTATAACATATGTTCAAAATGTCTGTTTCTTTTCAGCAAAGCAAAATATACATATGCACATACCCCTTTACGTTTTTCCTTTCTCAGGGTTTCAAATAAACACCAGCTCAGCTGTAGAAACAAGAATGCATTTCTTATTTCAGACTGCACTGCAATCCTCTAGGGATACACATGTGAAAATTTATGTTTTAATTATGCAATTAAATGAAATTATTTCATTTTTAATAGTTCCAATTTGCTGTTGAAGTAAACTGTTGGGCAACCTCTGACCCTTTGAAAATGTAGCAGCAAAATTTATATAGGACCTGCTAAGATTATATTGCATATTAGGTGACTAATCCTGTAGCACTATGGTGTAGATTATTTGCTAATATATATTCAGGCCTTAAGATAAGAATCCCTGGTGGAGATGGGACTGAAATCCATGTTTTTCCGATCTACCTTTGATCAATAGTTTATACACAAAGATCTTTACACTTAAAAGTCTTACTTTAACCAAGAAAAAATAACTAATAAAGATAATTCTGCATTATTTTACTAATTTGCAGAATTTATTTGGGGTCAATTGCAATTATTTCCCAGAACACTAAAGAATTGCTTAATATTCAGAATTCTACTTGGACAATTCTACTAGCTATTGTCCAGATATTTTTAGACAAATCTTGCAATATGAAAACTGGTAATCTTAAATTTTCAGAAGGCTGTATTCAGAGTATATCGTAATGTGTCCACTATTATGTCAAATATTGTATAATAATAATAACAACAATAACAACAACATCCCTTCAATTTTACAAATCAGGACCTTCCTACTATTAACAGCAAGATGAAAATGAAAAATCCAAAGCAGGTTTAAATTGTAAAGGGAATGTTATAAAAGATGTGATACCAGTAGCAGGTTGACAATGTTCTATCATTTAACATGTCTCTATAAATAAAGTACTAGCTTATTATTCAAGATCACCCTCAAACAGCTATCAGAACAAATGACGGAGTTAAATATGTACAATGATGATAGATTGAAATTTTTCATTTTGACATTTAGCTGTTTTATGCCTCTAATGGTTCTTATACACTAAGTGGCACTTTGTACAACACGAAAGCTCTTACCTCTACTGTCTTCCTCTTAGCTAGTTAACAGGGTATTTCTGTTTTCTGCTTAAATTACTAACACATTATTCAAAATTAAATGCATTAAAATTTATTTCAAAACTGATGCTGAAAGTCAATATTATTCTAAAAGGCTATAAAATAATGATGAAAATTTACATGACTAATAATGTGCTACTTTGGGGCAAATTAATTATGTTATACTTGTATTTTACTGTGAATTGTTTTGAGAACGTTTTAGAAAAGGATAAAAATTGTACAGATTTAAGTTTTTTAAATTGTAGTAAATAGAGTTATTGTATTATTTAAATCTCAAGAAACATACAGTGCAATGAATGCATGCTCGTTTAGAATATATTTTGAAAGAATTCTCCTTATATATTTATTTCTTATGGATGAAAATTTAGCAAAAACATATAACTGAAGAATCTCAGTTAAATATTGATTTGTTCAGCTTTTTATAGGGAGTTGTATGAAGGGAAGATATATAGTATACTATTTAAAGTTTAAATAAAATATGCTTTATTACTCTTTTTGAATGTTTTTAATAGTAAATTTTTTTTAACAAAACTAACAAAACATTTTGATTTTAGTGGATATCTAAAATTTCAAAATGATCATAATGTTAGAATCAGAATATCTTAGTTAAAATATCCTATCATATTTCAGATTCCCTCAAAGCAAATATTTCTGTATTCTCCAGATTATGACAAATCATGGGAACTGTTTGCTTTATGTAAATATAAACAATTGTTCAGTGATAGCATCAAACTTAGTTTGCTAAGAATTTCCAATTAACAATGAGCTGTAATTTCAGAGGTTGAAGATTAGCAGTTTATTGGAGAGCAGACTAGTCATTCTAATCCTTTTTCCAGGCTTTCAGTTTTGATTAATGCACACACACATATATAAACATGTTCACATTTTTTTCCTCATGCAAGGCTTAACAGTATCAAACTAAAGTTCTGTTCCTGCTTCACTGAAATTTAAAGCTTTAGCTTAATAAAAGAAAGAGGAAGAAACAAAGTGGAGAAGCTGGCATTTTAATATTAGTGTCTGGCTTACAAAGAAAACAAGAGTAATATATTAATATAATTGAGGACAATGCTCACAATTTTCAGTTTAAGATAGTTATCTATGTTAAAATAGAACATTTAAAAATTAGATTCCTTAAGTTATGATGAAAATTGTGATTAAAAAAATTCCCTTTGGGGAAATTAAGTAGTCATATCTTAACTGATCTTTCAAAAATCAGATTTTTAATTCTCGTACTTTCCAATTTTGATTAAAGATTAAAGATTGATTTAAAATTCCCAGGAAACATTCTGTTTCAACCCACTGAATGATGCTAGTCTGTTAGAGAAGACAGTGCTAACTTTCTCACTTGCTTTGATGAGGTCAGCATTTAATGCTAGAATGAATATCTAGTGCCATATTTATAAATATTCAGAGTTAATAGCAGTTCACACAGAAGGTTCAATTTCCATGACTACATTTTATAGGCAATTGCAAAGCAGGTAAGAGAAACAAGATGCTCTGTAAAAGAGTGCTTAATTGTAGATCATTTATCTCAATTTATTTCAAAATCATCCTCAGTAAGTTCCATTATTAATACACCAATAGTCTGAAGGGACCTGTAGCTAAAACATCTTTGGAATTACTTGATAATGTTTTATTTATGAGAATGCTAGTTATCCAGCTGCAATGATACTGTGGTCGTTTAAGCCATAGCTCAGGAAGAGTTTGGTATTGAAAATGTCCACATTTCGACAATACAAAAGAATATCAAATGTCAATAGCTTACGAGAGCTAAGTATTTCTTTAAAATAGAAAATAGAAGACATAACAATGCATACTGTATATTTTCATAGCTCAGTTTAATGTTAATGGGCTCTATAAGAGATAGCCAGAAATCCATATGCACTTGTGGGGTTTTCTGTGTAGCTATGTATGCGCGTACTTGGCTTTACTAAGAATATTGTATCCTGGCAATCAAATATTGGGTAAATTGCACCAAAAAGATCACACTTTTTGTTCTACACTTCTGAACAACTTTGCTGGCTTGATAAGCATGTCAGATTTGGCTTTTTCTAAAAGAAGCACATTTAATTTCAACTCCTCCCCCCCAGTGGTAAACTACATTCTAGCAAATAACCTGTAAGATAATTAGCTGACAATGCTGTAGCTAGCATAAAATTTTCCTTCAGGCGACCCCTAATTTAAGTGTTACTGGCACAAAGTGAAGACAGATTGTGCTTTATCACCACAATGTTTACATAGCAGAAACCCACAGAGCAGGCAACACGAGATTCAATGATGCACTAAATTAGGAACAATCATATATGAGTGCTACTATGCTGTCTTTAATATTAAAAGAACCTTCAGACAAAAAATAGGTTTTCATGTATTCTGACTTCACTTTGCAATAAAAGTGCCTTCACCTTGTCAGGAAATCAAGTTTGTGCATAGAAAAATAACTGGTACCTGCTATTTGGGCAGAGCAGGCAAAACAAAAAAGCAAAACCCTAAAACAAGTGTGTATAATTAAATAATGCTCTTGAAATTAGTTGGGTATTTTGTAAGCTGCCCTATAAATTTTACTGAAAGGCTGCAAAGAATCCCTCACTGTGAAGAAAGAAGCACTGATTTTCAATTATCACTTTAACAAATATCTTAGTAAGATAAAACTCAGTATAATCTTAGTGGAATGAACTAACTGGAGGATAAATATCTAATCTACATTTATTTAAAAGATAATCTTTCAGGAAGATTGCTTTCATTTAAAGCCAAGATGGCATAAATTTTGACACAACGCTTTCTCCCAACATCAGTGTCCTGGATAAAAATACTATTATTCAATGTATTTTATATATGTGTGTTACTGTATCTTTAAACAGGTTCATCTAAATTCCCCAATGAACACTTGACATTGATTTTCATTTGAATCCACATTCTAAGTCTTGAAGAAAATGTTTTACCTTTCCTACATGCTGATGTTCTTCAAAAGCTGTAATCAGTTCCTGTGCCCACTTTATTTTTTCAAGGCTTGGGGAGAATTGTTCCTGGACAATGGCAACTTGATTAGGGTGGATCACCTGCTTACCTACAAACAGGATTAATAACCATAGTGTCAGCATTAACAAGCAGATGCTCCAGCAAAATGTTGTAATTGCTAGTTCTGCGTGCATGTGCATGTTTAACATTACTACTATTATTACCACTAGAACTATCATCATCATCATCATCATCATCATCATCATCTTCATCTTCATCATCATTTTAAAATTAGCTCCATTTTGAAATTTAACCTGTTCGGCAAATTCTTATTCAAACCAGAATTTAAATTAATTCTGAAATTAACATAAAGCACATAATTTTAAAGAAGAACATTGAAAATATTCCTTATGTTATGTAGTTAATATCAATACAGACTTGTGGTTATTTATTTTATTTATAGCTTATTCCATTTCAAAATGAATACTTTCACAAATGTTAGACAAATGTTCTCTTAATGAAATGATAACATGGCTTATGTTTTTTCTAACATGATCACCATTTTGCTCTTGCTTGGCCAGCTGAGGGAAACTACATACAATTTAACTGAAAGGCCTCAATGAATTAACATTTTACATTTTTTCTTTACACTTTTGTGATTACAATGTAGTGTGTGAGTTTCATTTTAAAAAAAAAATATCTTCAGTATACAGTACTTGGAAATATTGAAAAATGACTGAAATATTTTTCTTGAACAAGCAAAACAATTAAAAATAATTAAAATATACCAAGTACTTTTAAGAAGTAATATTTTTTTCTTTATAAGGGATTCAACATAGGAGAAATTATTTGTCAGGAAGAAATATGTAATTCTTTCAGCATTTTGACTTTCAATAGTATAGTGGTTAATTTTATCCATAGTATATAGTCATAATTTAAATGTAGAGTGTAATTATTATTTATTTTATTTTAGAAATTCTAAGGGGAAAGAAAACTTTTTTGTTTTGAGAAAAAATTTTTGTTTTGAGAAAAATGTGAATGGAATTTAAAAATATCATGGCAAAAGGACTTCCATTTTTTAAGATCAGCAAAAATCTAAAAAACTGCAATTGCGTGTTGTTGTTCCTTGTATATCCCAAAACCTTGTGGACTTAAGTGTCCAACAGAATTCATTGGAGACAGTCATGACTAACATATAGACTTTATTGATCTTAAATGGCTTAAATGGCTTCCTGTTAATATGGCTAATTTTGAATTCAACCCAGGGTCCTAATATAAATCCCTGGGCTATAATGATCAAGCATGGCCTTAAAAAAACTACTGCATTTAAGAGTATTGATTAAATGTAATGGAAATTATATATATTGGGGTCTTATATCTATTTTATTGCTAGGGCAATACAGGACAAAGAGTAGCATGGGATTTACACTTAATGCATACTATTATACAGTAAAAGATTTAAGGTAAAAGAAGGAATTTAAAAACCATTGGTAGGAACTAATGATATTTTTTAAAAACAAATATTTTTGGTGTCAAATTTGGCAGGGACATACAGAATTACAAAACAGAGAGGTATTATGAGTCAGTGATCTGTTGTACCTTGTATATTCCTATGAAATTCAAAGTTTCATTTATTACTGAATGAATGTGAAAAGAAAACTGGAAGTCATATGTCTTTTATCATAGTAATTCTGAAAAGTTCATTATGAATATTTTTCACAAGAACATTTTAACTAGAATTGAAGAAATGCAACTTCCAAATGAGGACCTATGGCAAGTTAGATGTCCTGTCCCTATGAGTGGCTCCATGAGCAGGGACATCACCACAGTGAAATCAGCAACCAGGAGCCAGGTTCTGGCTGGCAAAAATCTTTCAAAAAGAAGAAGAGTTTGGAGGATTGTCCATTTATGCCCTAGCAGAGCTACTCCTCACAAGGAGACCACAGGAATTGAGTTTCTTGTGGCAGATTGCAAGTTAAGCAGCTTAGGAGTCAGATTATCAACATGCCTTAATTGCTAAACAGCCTTTATAGCAGGGGTCTTCAAACATGGCCCTTTTATGACTTGTGGACCTCAACTCCCAGAATTCCTCAGCCAGGCACGCCTGGTTGAGGAATTCTAGGAGTTGAAGTCCATAAGTCATAAAAGGGTCAAGTTTGAAGACCCTTGCTTTATAGACATATAACTGGCAAAAGCCTCTCTTCTTTAAACAACTTTGGATTTTATTAATTTACAATCTAAGAGAGATATTCCAAACAACAAAGAGGATCAAAGACTCTGAAGACTCTTGGTGAGTTGTCTTCTTTTTGGAATTAACAAGATTGTGATTCAGGAAGGTTTTAAATGGATAAAGGGGTCTATAATACATTTTATTTTTCTGATGAAAGTGGTTTTAAAAATAGCAAAATTAGACAGACTGGACCTTCATGGGAATACAGATTATTTATTATTAAGGACAGTAGATGACTGGTGGTTGGCATTACCCACTATGAAGGAATGACTAGTGAAATTGACAAATCTTGCTGAGATGGATAAAGTAGCATCTTTCATTAGAGGAAAGACAATATCCACATTTATTGGTGACTGGAAATCCCTATCGACCTATACTTTTAGCTTTTTATGTTCCTTTTTTATTTTTTACTTTTTCTGTTTTAATTTCATTTGTTGCAGTTCTTAAAACTTTTAATAAAAATATATTTAAAAAATTGAAAACTATTAGAAATTATGGGTTCTGAAATTATATTAAATTTCAACTAACTTTTTTAATGTATCCATAACAATTTAAGACAAAATGTATCCATAACAATTTAAGACAAATGTATCCATAACAATTTAAGACAAAAACCCTTGAGGGATGTATTCATGCATTAGTTCAATGATACAGATTTCGTTTTAGTTTCTTCCAATAAAGCAGACATGTCAAATTTGTGATGTCATGTGACGTCGCGCGACGTATCGGGACTGTTTTGCCATTGCTGGCAATGGGGTGGGCGCGGCTTCTGTGTGATGTGTCCGGCCCGTGGGCCGGCCGTTTGACACCCCTGCAATAAAGGAACAAGGCTTTGATCACATAGCTGAAATTGTACATGCCTGCATATGGATCCTTCCTATCAAAGTCATTCTTAGCTGACATTGCTAATAGCCATGGTAAAAACTATCACACTTTTCTGATAATATTGCTCCAACTGTAGTTTTAAACAGAAGAAATCCTGTCAAATAGATGCTAATATGCAAATGTGTTGCTTTCTGCTTTTTTATGTTGTCAGTGTAAAGTTAAAGAGGAAGCTGGAAGAAACAATGTTTTAAACTGTATGTTAGAGGAGAAAATTAGATGATAGCAAACCATCCTATCTCTGCTGCAATATTTTCAAGAAATTATCCTGGTGGAACAAGAAGTTGAATCATATCCTCGTGTATTTACTTCTGCATTCAAAAATATCTTGAAATGGCTTTATCAAACAAAGCAACAAATGCTGAAAGCTAGGACTTTTTGAATTTGAAGAAAAATTGCCAGGTTGTGTAAGAAACATTTCAGAATGAAATTGGGTTCTATATATTTTACATGAGGCCCATAACTCAGAGAAACCTCAAATGGGAAATAGCATGGAGTTAAGAAATTCTAGATTAAGCTCAATTTGCCCTAGAAATCAACTATTGTCAATATCTTGCTCTCTGCAGTGTAACTATGAAAATACGATACATAATTATCTCAAGATTTCATATTTATCTTGAATGTGTAAAGTGTTTAGAAGTCTGCAAAATCCATTGTGAAAGTGACAGATGTTTGCATATTAATATTTAGCCCAATCCTACATAGAACCAGATAGGATTGCAGAATGTAACCTTTATTTGAGGATAAAATAGTAAACTGATACTTGGAGGTACATGCTAACAAATACATTTCTTGAGAGTAAGTTATTTGATTTTGATTCTGCAACAGATGGCTGGTTGGTTAATAATTTCAAGGTTCTGAACTGACTGGTAAAGTTGAGGTCCAGTGGCCATATTGAGAATGTATTATAAAGGACTTTTAATAGCATCTGGACCTGCCTGCCATTGGTATTAATTACCCAGTTAATTATGTGTTATCAAATTCAAAATTTATGGTAATTATGTGGACAAATGCTTGATATCTTGATGTGCCTTTAGTCTCAACTTGTAGCTCTTCCAGGGACAGATCTGTAATTTCTTATCCATTTTCTTTACTATCTGTTGTCTTCTCAAACTTCCCAGGCATAGTTGATTTTTTTAGTCCCTTATCTATCAGCTTGAATCACATGTCCAAAGTATGTGAATTTTTGCTTGCTGTTCCTACTTCAAGAGAACTGTCAGTCTTTATTTGATGTGGAGTTTTTCTTGCATTCCATGGTATCCTCAGAAAATATCTCTAGACTGATAATTTGAAAGCATCTTGTTTCATTCTTTCTTAATGTGCAACCTTTCATACCCAGAGGCCACTGGGAAGACCAGTGCTTTAACTGTCTTGTTCTTTGCTGTGATAGAAATATCCTTGTTCTTCATGATCTTTTCTTCAACAAAATTAGATATCTTTCTCACTTCTTTGCTGTTAGGTTCAAGTGAACTTATAATTAGGTAGGCTGGTTGACAGTAACAGCATTTGCAATATTATACCTTAAGTCTGATTTTTCACTTTCCCTTTTTTACTTATTGAGAAGGTTTTTCTAAGTCTTGCTTGTTTTTGGCTTAAACAATAGTGTCATCTGCATATCTCTAATAGTTAGTGTTTGGGACTCTGATATAAATAACATCATTTCCAAGTCTGCAATCCATATTGGAGTCTCAAATACTAACACGCAATGACTGTAAATTATCACAATAATCATTCTAAATTAAACAGAACTGGGATAATATCCTTTTTTTTCACAACCTATAACTTTGCATTGTACAATGAAGTAAGCTCCACTTCCTTATTGTACTCATTTCCTCTATTATGTACTTTCTAAATATTCACTCTCTGTTCTTGTGCCTCTCTGCCTTTTTTTGAAACTTGATAGTTCATTTGGTTTTATTCTCTTTCCATATTTGGTATTATTGTTTTTTACTAAGATCCTAGGCTAAACAATTTTGGTGTGAGGAATCAGTACAATAAGTCAGTAATTTGTACATTCCTTTTTATTTCTCTCTTCTTCAGTTAGGTATAACCAGTGCTTTTTTTCTAAAAAAAGAAAGGTGCCGGAACTCACACACATCATACAACCCGCCTTGCCCACCCTACAAGGTTCCATCCAAAAAAGGTGCTGGAACTCCGTTCTGGATGTTGTATGAGAAAAAAAAGCCCTGGGTACAACCTCCAATTATTTCCAGTCTCTAGGCTGGTCTCTTTTCATATTTGTTGACAGAGAGCCTTTTCAAGTTACTCAGTGTGCTCTCTGTCTCAAATAATTATCATTATCATTTCATACTTTAATTTATATAAGGGCTCAATACAGCCTTTCCATCTTCATTTGCTCTAATAGACCTCTACTGTAATTAATATTCCTTACTTTAGCTGTACATTTTCTTATGATTTCTCAGATTTTCTTAAAAGTACCTTTTTTGTCATTATCATTTCATACTTTAATTTATATAAGAGTTCAGTACAGCCTTTCCACCTTCATTTGCTCTAATAGACCACTAATTAATATTCCTTACTTCAGTTGTACATTTTCTTATGATTTCTCAGATTTTCTTAAAAGTACCTCTCGTGTTCCTCTGCTTGGTGACATTCTTGATCAAGGTATTTATTCTTCTCCTTTCTTGCTTGACACTGAAAGTTAGGTGTTGATTGTCTTGTTTTCCAGGTGTTTTTTTGGTTTTAAGGAAAGCTGTTGATCTGATTGTATGTTCTGTTCTGACCATATCTTTTTGGCCGTATGTTCTCCAGGTCAAAGCATCCTGGCAACTTTATTCAGGTTTCTAAGTGACACTAATCATTCATCATCATTCAATCCATAATATATACCTGCAACTTGTTTGAATGTTTCAGCCATGTTCTTATAGATAGGCAACAATACAAAAATGGTTTGTTATTTCCTTCTTCTGGAAATTAAAGATCCTTTTGCTAGATGGGTTGCAGAATTTTTCTCCTGCCCTCACCTCCATACTTAACTTCATATTTCCCATTTGACCATGTTGGCAAAACCAACCTTCTCTTCAGCTGAATTTTAAAACTGATGAATCTCTTTCTTTTTTGATAAAATGCTCACATGATTAAAAATGATACGGTGATAACCCAAGCCATTGTGCCCGTAAAATGGTACCTGTACATTATTCATATACAGGTATCACTGAATTAGGATGGGAGTTTTGTTCTTTAAAAAATCAATCCTGGCCATATAGCACAACTTTTTAAAGTAGCTGCCAAGCTTCTGAGTGGCCTCTCAAATAAGATAGGATCTGGGTCCAACCTTCTTTAAACAATGATTGAACTCATTAAACGGTTTGGTTAAAAGTTGTAATTTGGCTATAGGCAAATATGATAAGGGAATAAGGTTTGTAGAGTCAAACTGAAATGCTTTAAACTGCATGGGGAAAATTCTTTAGCTGCTGTGTAATAATACAACAGCAACCAAAGCAAGCTGTAACGCTGCTGACCAAATTTAAACCTAATAATATCAATAGGAAGTACTCATCACATGTATAACATATATACATTTTAGTTCAGTAACAGCAAACGCTAATGGTAGCACAAAAATGAAATTAAAAAAAATCATTGTGATGGGCCACTCCTACGATTTTTAAAAAAATTCAAATTACTTATCACTGAGCTAGCTTTAATCCAGGTGAACAGGTCTTTTTCCAAACAGTTTTTCAAAGAAGGAAAAATAATTTGCTACGGGGTAAGTACATCCTCATAGCTAACTGGGACCAATCTTGAAAAGTTCAGAAGTTCTGATTAATGGTGAGATGGGAGATCATCAGAGATTAGAAAGTTGGAGCACAGACTGGAAGGAGGCCACGAGAAACCACTTCTATGTTGTCAAGAGAACTATCCAGACATAGATTTTTATCTTTTTGCTATAAAATAATAATAGCAAAAAATCGAATCAAATGAGGGGGAAACATGCACATATTTTGCAATTAATCAAGTCATTGGTTGATTCTTTTTGTAAATTCTCATTTAGAAGAATAGAAAACAAATCCCTCTAGTTTGTGTGTGTGTTTGTGTCTGTGTTTTTCAGAATAAGTATCCTCCAGGCCACCTAGCAATTCAGGCAGTTCTTTCAGTTTAATTCCCCCAGAAGCCAGCAAGATACCATGTTTTCATTTGGATCTTTTTATTTAAAACTGGTCTCGTATTAGATTAAGAACTCCCTGGTATTAAAACTTGCATATCTTCTATCTAAAGCAAATGAAACATATCACTGCAATGTTGGTGCTGTTGTTTTTGAAAGCACATTAAAGGCTGCATGTGTGAGCTAAGTAGCTGATTTTTATCACGAAGCTGCAATCTTTGTTATGTGTCGTGTCTCACAGGGGTGCTTGTATGATCTAGTGTACCAATCACGGGTGAAATGCCTAGGTTACAGTGGCTGGCTGTAAGAAGCTTGCTTGATTGTGCAGTGTTGCCAGTACCCGTAGGTGTCGTCAGGTGAACAGGCAATTACTGGGAAACAACTCAGAATATAGGACAGCAGCTCACAGAGAAGACTGACAGGAAAATAGCTATCAAAGCCGAATTAGCATATGGGGTGGGGTGGGGGTTTCTCATATACTTCATAATAAAATCCTGTCTCTCAAGATTTTTTTCCCATTTATTCAATTGAATCTACGTATAATAGCTATTTGTATATAGGGGAAAGTTTTGGTCAAATCAGCTAAAGACGTTTAAAGCATCTGACATACAAAGTGCAGTGGGAACAATTTTTGAGCATAAATGTATGCCCGCAGGCTTGCTGAATGGGAAAATGGAATGTCCCCAGACTTTTGGCCAAGATTATGTCTCAGTTGAATGGTAAGGGCAGGAGACTATGCATTGTTTATATTGTACTTTTGCTAACAAAAGAATAACACACGGGTGCAATACGTTGAAAGAATTTTAAGGGCTTAATTTTTCCACCTTGAGTCTTTCCTCTGCTGTCTTAAAGCAAAAATTCTGAAAAGTTATAGTTTTAGAATTCTTTGACCATCATCGAGTAGGCTTAAGTTATGAAGCAGACTCTAGAGTATCCTATCTGGTCTAAGATTAAGAAGATGATTAATGTATTTGAAATATCAACTAAAAGGCATACCAGTAAAACCCATTGAGGCACCCTCTTTTGATTGCTTACGTAGACCATCATCATCCTGGAAGTCTATAAAGACAAGGTCTATGGCTTGCAAACCAAAAGCCTTTGCTGTGACAATAATTTTTTGCCGTGCGTAAAGAATATCATGAGTGTCTTTACTACTTGTTGAACCTGAAATGAAAGATCACATTGTGTATAAAAATTTAATTCTCATATTTCAAATGTTTGTAACAGAGCTTTAGTTAAGAATACATTTGTTTTCCGATTTTCAAAAGAAAGATAATAAGAGATTGTTATGTGATCACAATTTTTAAGAAATTCTTGAAAGACTATTATTCAACTCACAGACACTTGCTTTCTTACTACATGTATTTTTAATAATTTTCATTTAGTTTTGCTACCATCTATTTTTATATGCCCACTACAAAATAATGGATATAATAAAACATACACAAACATTAAGAAAATATCCTTAAATGATGCTGAACTCATTTAATCCATAGAAGTGCCAGTAATGCATCTAAAATTGCTTTTTTGGTATCATAAGGAAACCTTTTGGTTATACACATTACATAAGTTTATTTAATTATTGATTTATGTATTTACTTAAACTTATATAAGTATATGTATACTTATGTAAGTATACTAATTTCTCTTATAATTTATTCAAATTTAAAATTTTAACTTTGAAATAATGTTTATATTTAATATCTTAAGTGAAATACTTGAGATTTGTTTTGAAGCATTGACAAGAAACCTGCTAAAGATCTTATTATGCATCATTATATATTGAATTCCTTTCTTTTGGTAGGGCTGATTCTGAACTGCATTGTCCTCAGAGGTTGGGTTCACATGTCAGACTAGAATATGACTGTCTAAACTGTGGTTTAGTGTGTGTGTGTGTGTGGAAAGTACCCAATATGATAAGTTTATAACTCAGTATGGATCTAGGAAATTGAGTTAATTCCCCAAGCTATAGTCAATTAAATATGGAATCCTGCATTGTGGGAACATAATCCACAAGTTCTTATTAGGCAATCCAGTTCACACTTAGGGACCTGCCATAAGTGAATAATAAAAAGAAGAGCTGCTGACCTTGTTTACTTTTTGAAAAATGATAAACAGTATCTGAAGATACAGAGGCAATAAAAATAAATTATTTGCCCAGGGCATTTTTTTTTAATCTGTTACCCTCCATATGGTCTTGGTCTACAACTCTTGTATCCCCAGGCAGCAAGCACATATGTTAAGACATGTGCAATAAAATAGACATGCAAATAAAGATAGAGTGCAAAAGTATTAAGAATAGTTCATAGTTCGTACACCAAAATATTACATCATATACACACTATTACTTCAAGAATTTTAAAAAAATATTTAAATTTTAAATGTGCATATAAAGAGATGGTCTCATTATTAACTTCCCCCATAAAATCTTATATTATTTTTTATATGCCAGTAAACAGAATTTTCTATTTTCTTTTTTTGCAAAAATTACAGCCTTATCAGGTTAATGTTAATTCTTAGACTATTTAGCCTATAAAGATACTGCAAAGTTTTCATAGAATTACAATCAGATATAGTCAAATATATTTACTATTGATTTCAGTAGGCATATGATAAAACCAAATGGAGCACAGTATCATAACCACTGCTCAGTTAACATATTCTTTAAAAAAGGTAATACCTATACTGGCACGAAAATCCTCGCCTCCAAATACCACAGCGTCTAAATGAAGGCCAACCTGTGGTTCTCTTCTCAGAATTTCTTCACAAACAGCCTTTAAGTGCAACATAAATATTAATACAAGACGCAGCATTTCAAAAATTAGTTTTGTAATAAAAAGATACTTTTTGTTATATTTCTTATCCTAAAATAATAACAAATAATAGCCACACACAAATTATAAAAAATAAATATTCTGGATGTAAAAATGCAGTATAATGAAAATGAAAATGCAGAATATAATATTTTATTTACCTATTGGGTTTTATGATAAAAGTTTTTCCAATGTGACAACTGCTTTTGGACTTGTGTAATAATAAAGAAATAAAAAATAAAAATCACTACATAGTGTGTACAGTATGGGACTTTTTAAAAGATTCCAAATATTTAGCACTGCAGAGAAACACAGCTGAAGTATATTTGGTTTAATACATTGCAGATGGAGATTGCAACTACTCACAATTTAATAGGCAGTTGGTATGTTATCAACTGATGCTCCTTAGATATCTTCAAATTAATATAATTACAGGAGATAAAAAAATGCAACAAGTAGCATAGAAAATCATTTGAAAAGCAAATGATACCTTGGGGATTTTCTAAATGCACCAAACCCAGTATCATTGCAAGTTTTGAATAATAAAATATTTATTTATTTATTTAGAAATATAATTTGATAGATAGCAATAATGCAATGCTGGCAAAGATCTTCCTGTGAATAACCAGCTAAAATAAGTTCAGCTGTTTGCATTTATTATTTTAAGCAATACTGTAAGCAGACATAATCAGTACCTGTAGTGCTATTTTAATCTCTACAACTTCTAAGCATAGGAAATCATAGTTGATATTTTTCAGGACAGAATTTAATCATTCTTTTTCTTTGGGTTTCATTTTTGAGGAAAGGGATAATGTTAATTAAATGAGAGGAGGAAGTACTTAAACCTTTTGCATTAAGATGTATAATTAGTAATTCTTTAGCCTACATTGAAAAAAATCTCTGAAACTGGGATTTATATTAACACAATAGCCACAAGGGCCTCCTAGTATCTCCTTCAAATAATATCAAACTTTTACAAGAAATCTTGGCCTGACTGGGCTGCACTAGGTTTCAGCATTAATATCTTTCTTCCACAGAAACCCACAGGCTGGATGCCAAAAATAGGCTATCTGCATGCATTCATCACCATTGAGAAGGGGGAGGAAGTGAAAAAACGGAAGAGAAAACGATTGTACACATAGTCATGTCATAAGGATATTACATCCTCAAAATTCTCATGTATTTTGTTTTAACTCTTAGGGCCAGTTGAGCATGAACATTTTTTTAAAAAAAAAAAACTCTTCAAATTTGGGAGGAAAAAAATCAATATTCTTCCAATTCCATTTTAAAATGCTTTTAAAATATTAAATATGATCCCTAAAATTCAAAGGCAAATGAGAGAAAATAAATCATGATATTTCAAAAAACTATTTGGGGCTATTTTTGAGACTTGCGTGTCTTTTATACAGTGTATTAATACTGACGAGCTTAAAGTAATTGCAGTAGTACAGAAGAAAGCAGCACCTATGTCATGTAAAGCGGAATAATTAGGGCTAAATGAATGGATTTATATAAAATACGAAAGCGATATAATTTTTAAAACATAATAGTTTGTTTCCCATTTCCAGTTATGAAGGTGTTAATTATTTATTTAATGGAATGTATAATCTATAAGTTTAGGACTTTATTCAGGCATGCTGAATTAAACAGATCTTTCTTACCTTAAAATTGAGCAAACCCATTGCAGTTTCCACAAAAGGAATGAAATTGATCGGCTCTATGAGTGTTCGGCCTTGTAAGTGCCATGCACATTTCTCTATAAACTAAGAACATTACAGAGAGGACACAATATTAGGGTCTGGTTTTTTTTTTTTAAAAAAAAAAAACTCTACAAAAATGGTCTGTAATTTCTTTGCACAAAATTACCAACCAGCCAAGCAGACAATCCAGCGTCCAGATTGCTGGCCCAAATCTCTGCCCTTGTGTTTTGAGTCTGTTATTATAAGGCCTATCTTGAAGAATGCTGGCATTACTCATATGTTTCCAGCAGTACAGGTTTAGCTGCACACATATTTGCCTAACACCTATCATCACCCTGCCTTTATTAAATGCAAATAAGCAGGATCTTTAAAACAAGGAAGGATTGATATACCTGACAATTCTGTTTTCTTTCATGTCTGACACTGACATGCCTATATTTTTTCCAGCCTTCCAAAGTGGCATCCACATAATTCATCACGGCCTTGTTACCCTTTGTCCTGGAGGCCTTTTCTTCATAATTTTTAGCTTACCTAGGAAGGGCCTTAAAAAGAAGTTTAATTCTTTGAAGACCAAAGCTTTCCAATTTTTTCCATGAGAGCAGTTCACAGCTAGCTCTGAGCTGCCGGTGGGGTACCCCTGATTCCCAAATCTATCATCTGGGAACATACAAAAGCTCTTGTACAGATTTCTTTTTTTCTCTTTTTCTCTTTTCAAAAGAGAAGGAGGGGGAGAAACTACCTCAGTATATTGTAAATCTATTAAGTCTGTCCAGATCTAGCAATGTGTGGGGAGATAAACATATCACAGGTATGCTAAGTAAATTTTAGTCAATAAAGACAGGAGGGAAAAAAATCTTGCATCATTTTTATATTTAAGGAATATTTAACCATTAATGGCTATCAAAGGGAAAGGGAATTTTAATCATCTCTCCATTCAGTCTCAGTTGGGTAAATCATATCTAAGAGATTTGCATAAATATAAACCATCAAAGACTTTTCATCTTCAAAGGGGGTTTCAAGTCCCTATAAGCTTTGTACTGTAATCATCACAGGTCACAACCCTGCAGGAATAAGGCTGCTATGGCAACATAAAAAACTAATGCTTAAGGCTTAGCATAATATTCTGACTAATATAAAGGAAACTCATTTTGAAACCTGGCAGCCTATTTACCAGAAACTGGATTAGAGGTGTTATTTCCCCTTTTAGCACTTCTCTTCCCCCCCAAATTTCACCCCTCCCCAAAACAAAATGAAAATAGAACCACAGCATCTTGAAAAGGGTTCTAACCACTTTTCAGGAGCTTTACATTAGGTCAAAATAATTCAAAAAATTCTTTCTGCATATTCTCTGTCCTTCCCTCTTTTTCATGCAGCCATCATTGTCACCACTTCCACTGCTTGTCTGATCTTTTCTCAAGCTAGTAAATCCCAGAATGTAAGGAATTAAGGGAAGAAAGTCAAGAAAAGGAATAAGAAGCAAGACTTAGGAAGCCCAACCCTCTATCAACCTGCCTACTTAGAAGTAAGGGCCAATGGCCTGATTTCAAATTAAATGGACACAGAGCCATAATCTGACGCTAGACCAACAGTGTGATAATCAAACAAAGCTATTCACTAATAATATCACAAGCATGAATACTCAAAATTTAAATTTTATATTGGAGCTTCTTTGTAAGTTAAATGATTAAAAAAATGGAAGTCCCCCCCCCCATCCAAATGCTACTTCTGTGTATCTGCTGAAATCTTTATGTCTTGATTTGGGAACCATCAGATAAATTTTGAATCCAATAATGTTTCTTTTTCCCATTTTAATTATTTTTCTCTTCCTCCTTCCTTCCTTTTTCCCCTTTTAAGTACTATTAGCACCAAATACAAAAGGCAACTAGTGGAGAAGTTTCAATTAATTTTTTTTTTCAAAAGGAGACAATTAAATGTTTCCGGCTTGGTAAAGTGTTCATTTCAGTGAGAGGGCTGGAAAAAAGGAAAGGGGGAGACAGAAAACAAAGATTGGGGAGGGGATGAAGGCGCAGGCTTTAGCCATTCTTTCAATTCCAGTGCACACCCAATAGTGTGTTGGGAAGAATGCCCACTGTTCAGGATTTGTGGGCGGATTGTCCCACAACAAAAGAGCCAGAGTTAGGCTTGTTATAGTCCAATAAGCCATGCCAGTCAAACAAGTACCCATCTGAAGGACAAAGAGAGAGCAAGAGATTCTCACACAAAAGGAAACAAGTAAGCCCGTCTTTTAGTTGTGCATCAGTCTCCAGGTTTTAGGCTTCGCATAAATCAAAATGAAGGACAAAAATAAACAGCCAAAAGCTTTCCACAGCAATAGCCATCTTAAAAGCAAAGTAAGAGGAACGCATCTAGGAGAGGATTGAGGAAGGAAAGATGGGCTCTGCTTCCAGGAAAAATCAAGGCTGAGGGAAACTAGAGTCCAGTCTTCTCACACCCTGGGAATATTTATTGAATCGTTCTAAAACCTTGGATAGAGTGGAAATACAAATATGCATAACCAACTATCAGATGTGTTAGTCTGCTGTTTGCTCAGTCAACAAAAAGCCTTTAGATCTTTTTACATGCATCTACAAAAATACATACTAATTATATATATACAATTTTTAAAGGGAAATAAAAACTAATACAAAGTAATGTAAAGAAAGAAAATGAACAGAAAAAGAAATAAAAAAGAAAGCTAAAAGTGCAAGAAAGGCAAAAAAAATTTTAAAAAAGCAAGAAAAAAGATAAAATTAATTTCCAATCTTCTTTATAGCAGTTGTAAGTGCAATTATAAATTTAGATCTTGCTGTCTGTAAGATCCACGGAATGTGATAAAATAAAGAATCAAATGATTTGTTGTGAGTATGTTTGAACCTACTGGACGTTAGGTTTTCTGAATGTTAAAATGTTTTCTTTCGCTGATACTTGATTAATAAGTAGACTCAATTACTAAACAATACTTTCCTGACTTGCTGACTGGGCAAGAATTATAAAGATCCTATGTTCACTTAAAATTAGTAGATTTAGACTAGATGAGGACACGTGATTGAACTTCAGAATCTATTTATCCCCATTTTTTTCCTTTATGGATTGTACATTTAATGTGTGCTCATCTTCATCTCTACCCCATGCTCAGAAAACAAAGTAAAATGAAGCTTGATTGACTTTAATAATGTTCTCAAAAAATAATATGGTAAAATGAAATGAAAATTCCTCTTCAGCAGTCAACACAATTATAGTATAATTAGGACCATTTCAGCATTTTCTTATGCAATTTAACAGACTAACTATTTACATCTCTGGTTTCTATTGGCTGAAAAGTCAGTCATGAAAAACAAACACACCTGCCAGCAATTTAAAAGGAAGACATATAGGGCTGGACAGGAAATAATATCTTTCCTAATTAAAAACACTAGTTAAAAGCTTCCTGTTTGTTCTTTTGACTGCCCTTACGTGTGACCTTTCCTTCTATCTCCACCATATTTTTTTCACATGTTGGTAAAATGCTTCCTCCATCCACCAAAATGTTCTTGTCAAAAGTGAAAAGATATTCAAGCTGGAGGTTGACAGTTCTAACATGGAGAATAAATAAATAAATAAATAAATTCTATATGATGACTGTTAGGCTTCAAGTATAATGAACAGAAGCATTGATTCTTAACAGTTTTTGTTTAATTTTACTTTGTCCAAACTGCATTATAATATATTAGTATTGCATTTCTAAATCCACCTCTTTTTATATATACATAATGTATCTGCAGTTAGAAAAAATTCTCCTTGTCCTGTGGGTCTTGAAAATAGGGTTTTAAATGTATTAAATGTGATTTGGTTCTCTCCTGCATAGGACCACTGTCACAATTCTCAAATCTGATTTAGTTTTTGCTTATGAGAAGATAAGAAACTTTGGGGCTAAATTACTGTTTGATATTCCAAAACAAAATGGGTAAAGTATACAATACGTGAACTGAATCGAGTACTAACAGCAGAAGTATTTCACATTTGCTTCATGATATTCTATTTCTTCCCTTCTGAAATTGGATGCACGTCTTTATTTGAGATAATGGTAGATGTTTTGACTCACCCATTTTATTTCTTCTACGCTGTCAACCTTCGGGAGCATCAGGCTAGTAGGAAGAATCTTGGATTTCAAAATGACCTTCATATCTTCTTCTGCAAGACCACTAGACACTGAATTGATCCTAACACACTTCTCCGTCTGACCAAAGTCAAAGTTCTCAAGGGCTTCCACAGTTTTTATTCTAGCTTCTTCCTTTTTTTTTTTTTTTTTGGAGAAAGATAAAGAGAAACTAAATGCTTTGTTTTAATGAGAACTAACTTTATAAAAATCATGTTTAATTAAGAAAACAATGGAGAAATTCACCTGCATTACAGATCGTGATATACTAAGATTGGGCTAGGTCACACAGTTGCAAGGGTATCCCTGGGATTTGGTCAAAAAGTCAAGATGGTGAAATTCTGTTTTTATGCGCATTATATATGCTATCTTGATCTTTTTGATTAGACATTGTGGACACCCCTGCTCAGATGTTACTCTTTTTTAAATAAAAGCAATTAGGTTTAGGCACAATTTAATGTGTTTAATCCATTATTCGTGAGTCATAGCAGATGGCAGCACCTAGAGCTCTTTATCTTGAACAACTTGAACAGGGTTGGATCTCACTGGCACTTGGATGGGATGATCCCATTGTAGAATCCTAAGGCTATATATATATATATATATATATATACACACATACATACATACATACATACATATATATATATATATTCTCACATGTGCAGGATCCACTTTTTAAAGATCAACTGAGTATCCATCCATTTGGTTGCAACAGGAATTGATTGATCAACCGGCTTGTCACCTGAGCTTGAACTCATGAGCTGAGAGAGAAAGTGACTTTCATACCTATTACAAGACTAGAACTCACAGTCTCCAGGTTTCCGTCTTGGTTCCTTAACCACTAGACCAAGCTGGGTCTCTAGCCTAAGGCTATAGACTAAGATGGAAAATAACTCCCTTACCCCTCCCTCAAAATCGTAGAATCTAGAATCTTTGTTTTGATACTTTAAATGTGATTTTTATATTTGTTGTATCTGTGTGTATTTTAATATGTGGTTTTATTGCTTGTTGAGTATCATCTGAGTCACCTTTCAAGAGATGGGAGACCATGTAAATTTAATAAATAAATAAATAAAATAAATAGATGGCTATTTCCATAGTGTTATCATACAATAATATAGATGTATAGTGAGCAGAGGTCAAACTCATCTTGAAAGAGACTTTCGTTTTTCTAAAGGGATCATGATAATTACTGATCTAATGAAAAATATGATTGGATCCCAAAGTGGATAAGCAGCTCTGCTCATACATGATTGATCTTCATTATTCATTAACCTTGGCCAAGTACTGATGGATAATGTAATTCAAGGACAGATGAATTAACTTGGTCCATTAGCTAACATATAACTGAATGGCAATAGTGAAAAGATTAATGATGTTTACAGTTAAGACAACATTTCTCACATTACACTGTTATATATACTAATAATATATTATTCAGAGCTAGTTTGATGTAGTGGTTAAGACATCAGGCTAGAAACCAAGAGATCACACGTTCTAGTCCTGCCTCAGGCACTAAGTCAACTAGCACTATAAGGGACTAAGTCGCCTTACTGGAGAACTGGGTGGCATACAAATGTAATTAATTAATTATTGGAGATATATCGGGTCAGTAAATTGTCATGTGGTTCATTAGTACCTAGGTCAAAACAATTTAAAAATACAGCATAAAATATTAAGGTTGTTTAAACAAGACTTCAGCCCAGCCTTGGATGTAGAGACAGAAAAGATTTAAAAATGTGTTCTGCATTAAAGAGTCTGAAAAAAATAGTAGTTTACAGTTGTCAGGACTGATCAGGCCAAGATTCACAAGATTGGTGTAAAACAGCTGTTATGATGCACTGATTTATAGCATGAATGTAAGTTTAGAGAGAAAAAAGCAATGCCCCTCACCAGAAAGTGTGAAAAAGGAAGAAGGTTAATGACTCTAAAAACAAATCAGATGACATTTACCACCCCTTTATCTGTGTTACTTCAATATGGGGAGATTTCTAGGCACTTTCTTAGTGAATTAGGAGCACTTTTTTGTGGTTTCCTGAGATTGGGGGATTTTCTTTCAAACTTCTGCTGGAGTCTCTTTTTAATAGTATCCTCACTCTCCCAGCCCAGTGGGATGTAAGACATAATGAATTCTTGCAAAATTATTATGAGATTGGCTTTTTTCCCCTTCTGAAAATTTTATTGAACTTTAAGGAACAGTACAATAGACCGTTGTTTCTTAAAATTTTGCTCTTAGGACCCATACCTGCTTTTAAAAATTATGGAGGATTTTGCTTGTATGGGTTACATTTATCAATATTTAGCATATTAATTAAAATTGACCTATGCAAAATTTATTTATAGAATCACAAAAATAATATTAAATTGATTAAATGTTAACATATTTTTTTATTTTAAAAAGACTATTTTTAACAAAAAATAATAATGAGAAGAGTGCCATTGTTGTAAGTTTTTGTAAACTGAAATATTTGATTTTGTAGACTGCTTAGAGCAGAGTTCCCCAAAGTTTCTGGCTTTGCAGTCCGGCGGGGAGAAGAGAGGATGGTTCTGCACAAATGGTTCTGCACAAATGGCTGGTTCTGCACAAATGGCCGGCAAGCGCGCACGCATGCATACAGCTCCATTTGAGTGAGCAGCATGCATGGGTGCCTGCCGCTCATGCAAATGGAGCGCGTGCACCCATGCGCTCGTCCGCTGCTCGTGCAAGTGAGGATGCATGTGCTTGCCCACCATTTTTGTGGCCCAGTTGCAATCCCCTCATGGCCCACTAGTGGGCCACAGCCCACAGATTGGGGACCCTTAGTTTAGAGGATCTAGGGACCCCCAGGGAGCCTTGAACCACTCTTCAATAAACTCTGCAAAAGATCATTCTGCTTATGCCATCTAGTGCTAGATTTCAACAGATTCAAGCAGGTTGATATTCTACTTTGCAATATAAACACAAATGACCCACAAATGAAGTATTAGGTACCCACATGAAGCCAAATTACAGGACTTAACATAGGCAAAATATTTGCTCTAGGGGCCTCTGCCAATATGGAGTGATCTCCTACTGCCAGAGAAACAGTGCAAGCATTTGATGGGCTTCTCCAATGTTCTGATGCAGTGTTGTCCACTTGGGGTGGATCAAAAAAAGTCAAGATAGCAAAGGTGATGAACTAAAAAAAAGGGGCTACCATTTTGTATATTTATCTCCCACTTTCCATAAAAGCCCTAGCTCTGAAAGGATTTGGGGGGAAGATAGAAAGGGGGAAAAAAACATGAGTGAGTTGTTCTCCTTTTGTATCTGTCTGCCTGCCTGCCTGCCTGCCTGCCTGCCTGTCTTCATCATTAAACAAAGGTAGGTTTTAAGCTTGGAAATATCTGACTACATAAGCAATTCAATGTTGCGGAATTACCTGTCTTCTATGTAGAAATAATTACTTTTACAAAGAAGCGTCAACTAGGCATGAACCCTGTCCACCCACCAGAAATCACAAGTGATAAAGCTTGGACACAGACTAACCACCTCACTGAGAACTTGTCCATCAGTCTGTTGCTGTTGATAATCTTCAAATATGTCTCTTTTCTATAACAGCTCAAAATAACCAACCAGCAATGAAATTACTGTTCTTCACTATATTTCAACAGAAAAAATGTGTTACTGTGAGAGATTTTATGCTCATGCCATCTGTTGGGTGCAGGATAGATATTTCATAGAACCATTGCATTCTAGCATTGTCCATTTTAAAGGAAATACGATTCCTTAGCAACACAAAATCACATTGTTACTTTATTATATTTTCTTATTAGGTTTCAATCAAAAATTGTGAAGGAATGCACATTTGGTACTTCTAGAAGCTGTCGTCATTTTCAACATCCATTCTATTTTATTATTTTTAGATCATCAATCTCAATTTTTCATCATTAACAGCAATAAGGGCACTGAGTTTTAATAGTCTTCTTCCCACGCATAATCACGTGTGCAGGTCATTCAGTGGAATGCATATGAAATTTGCTGGAGAAAGCCCATGAAATAGTATCCTTCTCTTTATTTAACAAATGATAGCACTTCTTTTTAGCTTCAGCTAAAAAATGAGGAATAAAGAATTCCTGCCATTCCTACCATTTCAATTAGTGGAATGTTTGGGGTCCTTAATTTGAAAGAAGGTTACTTCTGTCTTCTCACTTCAGTGACACAACTGTCTGCCTAATTTTCTGGCAACAATGCTTTGTCTTTTTCTAGCGTCTAGTTTTGGTATTACCTGGAGGAATCCCATCCAAATATTTAATCAGGATTAAGCCTGCTTAATTATAAACAGGTAAAGCCAGCTGGTTGTTGCCATCTGTGGAGATCAATGTGTAGTATATAAAAAAACAGTTTTATTCAGGGCTTTTTTTTCATAGAACGCCCAGAACGGAGTTCCAGCACCTTTTTTTAGATGGAACCTTGTAGGGCAGGCAAGGCGGGTTGTATGATGTGTATGAGTTCCGGCACCTTTTTTTTTTTAGAAAAAAAGCACTGGTTTTATTCAATAATTGTTTTCTCCTAGCATACAACCCAACATTTGTGTTTATGTATGTGATTTCTGTCTTTCCTCTAAGACAGACATGTCAAACACAAGGCCCGGGGGCCGGATGCGGCCCGCGAAGTGATTTCATGTGGCCCGCGAAGCCATCCTGGAAACAGTGAGGGAACGGCCCCCGCTGCCTTGGCCCTGGCCCAAGCCAGCCGGGAGCCAATGTACAATTTTGTGGTGGCCATGTTGACACTTGCCCCGGTGGACCATGCCTTGGCACTTGCCCGGTCCCACCCCCTTCTGCCAGAGACCCTCAGATCTGTCCCACTCCTGCCCAGGCCCCCATAGGCACCCTTGACGCAAATGATGTAGAACTGGCCACGCCCACCCAGTAGGCCACACCCACTCCATCCACGCCCACCCAGTAGGCTGAACCCACTCTGGCCACACCCACCCGGCCCCCCCAGGGCAACCACAATGCTGATGCGGCCCTCAGTGAAATTGAGTTTGACACCCCTGCTCTAAGATCACAGAGTGACTCGCATAAGAATTTCTCTTCATTGTATCCCTACAGCAATAGCCAGGGATATAGGCAGGACTGAAAGAGTGTGATTGGCCCAAAGTCCCAAGTGA